TGAAAGTGTCGGCCAGATCTGGGGAGACAGATTGGGCAACGGCACACCGACGCTTGGGGCATGTGGCAATGCCCTTGTTGAAGCAGTTGGAGAAAAATGGAGTTGTTAAGGGTCTGAAACTGAACGGACAGCCACCTGATGAGAATTGTGAAATCTGTTTGCTCTCAAAGTTCACCCGTTTTCCCTTCCATGGTGTGACTGGCAAGAAACCTTTAGATTTGGTCCACATGGACTTGGTGGGGCCGCTGCCGGTTCAGGGGCACAAGGGGGAGCGGTACTTTTTGACCATAGTGCATGATTGGATCAGTCTTATGTGGGCATATCCGCTGAAAGAGAAGGACCACGCCGCCTCTACGATACGGGATGATTGGCTGTCATTCGTGGGGAAGCAAGCGGAATGTGTGGTGAAGCGGATAAGGACAGATCGGGGTGGTGAGTTCCTTGGAGCTGAGATGACAGCCTGGCTCAAGAAGCAGGGCATCCAGAGGGAGCTGACCACGGCTTACACCCCACAGGCTAACGGTGTAGCAGAACGGGCGAACCGGACAATTCTGGAGACAGCTAGGGCGCTGCTCATAGAATCTGGGCTGGGCAACTCGATGTGGCCCCATGCTGTTCGGCATGCTACCGTCGCTAGGAACAGGGTACCCACAAAGGTTGGGGATGACTCATGGGTGCCGTTGGAGAGGTGGCTTGGGTGGAAGCCGCCAGTGGACATGCTGAGGGTGTTCGGTTGCATGGCAATCGCCCACGTCCACCAGATCTACCGTAGTAAGTTGGGGGCGAGTGCAATCTGGTGTATGCATTTGGGGCTGGCTGCTGAGAGCAAGGGATGGCTGCTGTGGGAGCCTTCCAAGGGTGTGTTGTTTGACAGCAGGGATGTGAAGTTTGTTGAGGGCATGATGTATGGGAGCTGGGAGAAACAGCTGGAGGCCAGGGTGTCTCAGCAAATGGAGCAGTTCACCATGCAGCTGGACCTGACTCCTAGTGTGTGGGAGGAGGGAGAGCAGGTAGCTGCAGAGGGTGGTGATGGAGAGAAGGTACAGGAGGCATCTGCTGGTGGAGAAAATGATGTGGATACTAGCACTAGTGGAGCTGCTGGATCCGAGGGAGGAGAGCAGCAGCAGGAGAAAACCAAGAAGCCGAAGGGAGTTGTTATGAAGGGATGGGAGACACCCGTCTCCAGGGCAGGACGTACCCGTATGGCTGCTAAGAAGTTGACTGCAGGAGCTGATGTAGCAGAGGAGGCATTGCTGATTCTACCTCATGGCTATGACCCGGATGAGAAGGATGAACCTGCCTACAGTTTTTTTTCCCCTGCACCAGAGGAACCAGCTAGCATAGAGGAAACATTAGCTGGACCAGATAGGGAGAAGTGGCTGGTTTCTAGGGATGCTGAGTACCAGAGCCTACTAGAGAATGGGACATGGGATCTGGTGGTGCTGCCCGATAAGAAGAAAGCTGTACAGTGCAAGTGGATGTTAAGGATCAAGACCGATGACAAGGGACGGGTCACCATCTATAATAGTAGGCTGGTGGCTAAGGGGTTTATGCAGAAGGAGAAGCGGGACTTCAATGAGATTTTTCCTCCCACTGCCAAACCCCCTACTCTTGGTGTCTTGTTGGCAGATGCAATCGTTAGTGGGAAATTCATCATTCAGATGGATATATCAACGGCATTCCTAAATGGGATTTTAGATGAGGGTGTGTACATGACGCAGTTACCTGGGTATGAGGATGATACAGGCAGGGTGTGCAAGCTGAAAAAGTCCATCTACGGCTTGAAGCAGGCGCCACGCTGCTGGTACCAGAAGTTGGCAGCTGTTTTAGAGGAGATGGGATTCAGGACCAGCAGCTGTGATTTAGAGCCTCTTTCTTAAGGGGGAGGGGGAGAAGCTGGTGCTGTTTCTGGTCTATAAGGACGACATCCTTCTCTTTGGCAGCAGCATGAAGGAGATCCAGAATGTGCAGCAACAGCTGATGGAGAACTTCAAGTGCAAGAACCTTGGGGAGGTAAAGTACTACCTCGGGATGCACGTGGAGAGGGATCTGGATCACAGGTGGTTGAAGCTTCACCAAGAGAAGTTCATCAAGGAGCTGGGGGAGAAGTACGGGATTGAGAATGAGCGCAAAGTTGCAACTCCCCTGCCAGCAGAATTCAAGCTTGTGAAAGCTGCAGAGGAAGAAGGGGTTGAAGCCGAGGAGCAGCAGCAATTTCAGTCGTTGGTGGGCAGCCTCTTGTATGCAGCAGTTCACACAAGGCCCGACATTTCTTTCTCGGTTGGGCAGCTGGCTGGGTTGGTGCAGAATCCATCAGAGGATAAGGTGGATGCAGCTGAGCGTGTGGTGAAGTATCTGAACTCTCACCCAAGCATAGAGTTCAATACTCCGCATCTGCACAGGTGAAGCAGAACGGGGTTGAGGTGCTGAAAGAGAAAGGGGAGCGGCTTGGAGAAGGTAAGCTCTTTCTCACTTGCTTTACCGATGCTACGAGGGCCTCTGAGAAGGAGGATTCCTCATCTGTGGGAGGATACATCTGCGTAGTTGGGGGAGGACCGGTTAGTTGGAGGTCAAAGAAGCAGACGGAGACATCACTCTCTTCTGTGGAATCAGAGCAGATAGCGATGTTCCATGGGGTGAAACAGGTGATTTGGCTGAGGAGGCTGTTAGAGCAGATTGGCCAGGAGCAAAAGGTTGCTACGCCGCTGTTTTGTGATAGCAAGGGGGCTCTTGGGATGGCCAGGGACGCTATGCTTCATGGGCTCAACAAGCACATGCGTATCAAGTGGCACTGGCTGCGTAAGGAGGCGAAGAAGGGGACGGTGAATCCGATCTACATCAAGACTCACAAGCAGCCAGCAGATTTCCTCACCAAGAGGCTGGCGGATAAGCCTCATTGGCGTTGTGTGCGCATGAGTGGAATGAGCATGAACTAGCATGGAATGATGTGTTGGTGTAAGGGCCGAATAAACTCAAGCTATTAAGTCTTTATCAAACCTAAAACCTCTCTTCGGGATCACCTCCAAGGATCCTTGGGTGCCTGGTACAAGACCAGCCCCTATCATCCGGTCCGAGTTTGTAGAGAGAGGGATCAAGAGGGACTTAGTCAAAACAGCAAGAGTACCTTGAATGTCGCGCAGCGTATCGTGCAGACCATTGATCGGATTAAGCTGACAATTTACTATATCGAAGCTCGCTCTAAGAGCTTTAAAATGAACCAAGTTGCCTCGCGAAAAGTTCTGCCATTACGAAGTTCTGGCTCGGACAGCGTTTGCCTAGCGTTGGAGTGCTAGCATACTAGCGTTGACTCGGGTAGCATTACGCCGTTGAACCGCGTAGAAACGAAATTCCAGGAAGGGAGGAATTCGCTTGAATCAAATTTGAATATATTCAGGTACAAACAGAGAAGGAATTAATAGTTCTAGCTAGCAAGGACCTTGGGAATCAACCTGGGAACAGCCAGGGATCATCCCAAATAATTCCAAGCAACAGAACCAACCTGGCTGGACAAAACAGCAGGTGGTAGGTTGGTAAACCACCTCTGGTTCTGTTTTTCCAACCTGGGAAAACAACCAGGTTCAGGTCCTAAAAACAGAACCTGTTTCGTCTTTGCCCAACCAGCCAAAAGCTGGTTCCGCTGGTTGTCCCTGGCCCTGTAGCAAGCAAATACAGACAAACAACATCCAACCTTCACCTAAATTGTACCCCTATAGTTCCTGCCCTGCTACACTATAGTCGACCAAACAAAACAGTACAATTTCGAGTTGGATAGAACTGAATCTCCACAATCAATTCAACCGAACCGCAATCTTGGGTTCCTTTGCTAGCTCATCCTTTCTGCTTGAACTATTCATAGCGCGTACAATGTTGTGCCGAAGCACACAATGTGCGAGTACCTGCAAATGCTTCAAGCGAAAAATGCGAAAGCAAACAAATACACGAACATTCTATTCACACCTAAATGCATTCGTACACACATACTCGTACAAACAGACGGCAGGATGTCGTGCAATGTGAATTTTCACCCAACAGGGAGGAATACCAGGAATGGGAGGGAGCTGCAGGGAGGAAGAGCAAGAATGAGAGGGAGCTGCGGGAGGAATAGCAAGAATGGGAGGGAGCTGCAGGGAGGAATAGCAGGAATGGGAGGGAGCTGTAGGGAGGAAGAGCAAGAATGAGAGGGAGCTGCGGGAAGAATAGCAAGAATGGGAGGGAGCTGCAGGGAGGAATAGCAAGAAAGGGAGGGAGCTGCAGGGAGGAATAGCAAGAATGGGTGGGAGCTGCAGGAAGGAATAGCAAGAAAGGGAGGGAGCTGCAGGTAGACGTGAAGAGGAGGGATAGGCAAGTAGGGAGTGAATATAAAGGGAGGGCGAAGCAAGGATGGCATGAGAGGGTGGAGGAGGGAGCAACAGAGAGGGATGGATAGGTAGGGTTTGAGAGAGTCGGAGGGACGGTATGTATGGGGGGAACATAGAGACAGTAGTGGTACTGTGTCCATACTTTTTGATAGCATTGTCGAGTTCGGACACCGTGGCGTCGTTGTGATACTATCTTCTGCATGTCAGCATTTAGCAGTCCACAAACGCCGCAACTGCATTGACAATCTTCTGATCCACTATACCGGCAAGCACGATGTTACGACCTGCATCACGGCGTAGTGCTCGAAAGCCTAGAACTTTGCAAAACCAGCAAAATAGCCGCCTTTATCCCGCTTTGGAATACGGAACCCCGAGATGCGGGTTGCATCGCCCAGATCCAGCAGTGCCTTGTCAAGAGCCTTCAACACTTTCGTTTCATCCTTGTATATGACTCGAATGCATGACACGATGTGCATGAAGACCAAGGTCTAGCGCGTGCATGACTTCGACAAGAAGTGCACGGTAGGGATTTCCCACTTCAGTCCCTCCCAAGTTAAAACCCCAAATGGCAGCCTACACAAAAGGAGGGTTGAAAAATGATAAAAAGATTTGCACAATGACTCACACACAAATTATGGCTTGATGAGTGATGGAGATGGACTGATGAGTGAGAGAGATGGGATGGCGAGTGAGGAGGATGGACACATGAACGAGAGGGATAGGATGGGGAGTGAGGAGGATGGACTGATGAGTAAGAGAGAAGGGATGGGGAGTGGGGAGGATGGACTCATGAGTGAGAGAGATGGGATGGGGTGTGAGGAGGATGGACTGATGAGCGAGAGGGATGGGATGTGGAATGAGGAGGATGGACTGATGAGTGAGAGAGATGGGATGGGGAGTGGGGAGGATGGACTGACGGGCGAGAGAGATGGGATGGAGAGTGAAGAGGATGGACTGATGGTTGACGGAGATGGGATGGTGAGTGAGGAGGATAGACAGATGAGCGGGAGGGATGGGATGCGGAGTGAGGAGGATGGACTGATGACGAGAGAGATGGGATGGCAAGTGATGGAGATGGGTTGGATGAGTGAGGGAGATTGGTTGGCGAGCGCATGAAAAAAAATAGCAGCGCATACGCTCCAAAATGAGGACAACTATGGGTGCTGCAGTACACAGAGATCCCCTAATAGCACTCACTTTGACTGGGTTAGTGCTGAGATATTTCGAAGCATCATTTCTTGCAGTCGGGGCAGTGATGACCAACAACTGATCCACCTTTGCTCGTTGATCCGTCTCAGTCTGGTAAACCAAGGGGACTTGCATGTTGCTGATGTCCTCTGTCTTTACCAAGCATTTGTGGCACGGGCGTTTTGCTTTATGACTTGCAAAAGTGCCGACGTGTTTGCAAGCCTCTGGTTGATCCGCCACGATAGCATGCACGAACGGATACATAACATACTCAGCTCAGGGCTGATTTTATCAGGGTAATTACCCTGATTTCAGGGTGATTACAGGCTTCTCAACTGGTGGTCCCTACAATTTCAGTTTTTTTTTTTAACTTGTGAACTCTGATCCAATCAGATAAGTTACTTAACGAACCCTGAAATCTTTTAACAAGACTCAGAGTAGTGTACTTGCGGACTATGTCTATGTCGGTGGACGCTGAATGCGAGGGTATCGGGATGAAGGTTCCTCAAAATTTCCTTTCGATAACCCCCCCTTGTGCGTAATCATTACTTCGCGTGCCCCCATGTGAGGCATCCCGTTCACGCCCTGGACTGACATAAACTGACAACGAATTCCAACACCGTGCTGTACAGACAGCTGTCACCAGTGATAACGCACTCAAATCAATGATATGTTGCGGTCACGCGCACCTTGCAGTGCACAGCATGCCTCTGCCATTGGCCAGAACGGCATGTTGACAGTATGCAGTGGCAGCCCAGCATTACTTGAATGAATTCGGCCTTACATCTACAGCCGAATTCATTGACGAATGCTGCCATCAACCTTGTGGCGTCGCGCCGCGGTGGTTTCGTGATGACCCCGCCATCTCCATCCTTCCCTTCTTTTCCCCTACCCATAGCCGGGCTTCCTTCGCTTCCTGCCTTTTCATCCATTTCGTGCGCTCAGTATTACAGTTTCCTCTCGCTCCATCTTTCCCCTAGCTCGCCGCCATGGAGGCCCTGCCGGCCAACGAACTGCTCCTCAGACTGGCCCTGACGAGCCACCTTTACCGACGAAACCGACAGCGCCAGCCTTGCTAGAGAAAGCATCAGATGCTCCCCGGTCTAGGCTCGATTTTCTTAGAGCTACCGGTGCTACGCTCAACGAGGACACATTGACCTCGTACATCCTGCAGGACGAGGCGATGCAGGAGGCTGAGCGGTCCCAGGAGCTCCTCGCGCAAGTCAATTTCGTCGCCCCCGCGAAGCAAGGTGGTCGCCCGGGACAACGCGGGCAGTCTGGTGGCAGTCACCGCGGTGGCGCGAAGCTGACGAAGGACGCTGACAAGCAGAAGTCTGCCAAGGATGGCGGTCGTGGAGGAGGAGGTCGACGTCGGGAATGCTGGCTATGCGGCGATCCCAATCACCTCTCCTTCGAGTGTCCCGACCGCAGTGACTCGAACGACGATGAAACCAAGGGAGGCCGTGGAAGGTCTGGCAGCCGTCGTCGGCGTCGACGAAACCAGCCGCAAAAAGAGAAGCAGTCGACGAAGTCGACCTCGGCGAAGGACGCCGACTCTTCCGTGGGTGGCAAAGGGAGAGGCGACAATGAGGCGTCGTGCTCGCTGGTCGGTATCGTGGAGCCGACCGTCTCGCTGACGCCGGAGGCTGGCGAGGATTTCCAGGCGATGGCGGCAGCCATGCAAGCGAACCCTGTGGTGGTTCTGCTTGACAGCGGCTGCTCACAGCACCTGATGGGGACGAAGGAGGCCTTCGTCGACTTGGGGCCGAGCGGCGACGTGAAACACGTGCGCGGCTTCAATGGGGCGTTGCATGAACTTCGCGGCCGTGGCACAGTTGCTATGCAAGGGGAAGTCGGGAAGCGGGTGCTCATGTATGACGTTCTTTACGTCCCAGGCGTGCAGGCGAATCTGCTTTCCGCTGGCCAGCTGAAGGAGAGCGGGGTGACGCTGAAGGACGACGGCGACAGGATGTTGCTCGTCTCCGCAGCGGAGGACGTGCTCAGCCGAGCAACGTACAGCGGCCGGGTCCTCTGCACTAACCTGTTGGTGTAAGGGCCTAATAAACTCAAGCTATTAAGACTTTATCACACTTAAAACCTCTCCTCGGGGTCACCTCCAAAGGTCCTTGGGTGCCTGGTACAAGACCAGCCCCTATCCTCGGGTCCGAGTTTGTAGAGAGAGGGATCAAGAGGGACTTAGTCAAAACAGCAAGAGTACCTTGAACGTCGCGCAGCGTATCGTGCAGACCGTAAATTGGATTAAGCTGAGAATTTCCTATATCGAAGCTCACTCTGAGAGCTTTAAAATAAGCCAAGTTGCCTCGCGAAAAGTTCTGCCATTACAAAGTTATGGCTCGGACAGCGTTAGCCTAGCGTTGGAGTGCTAGCGTACTAGCGTTGACTCGGGTAGCATTCCGCCGTCGCACCGCGTAGAAACGAAATTCCAGGAAGGGAGGAATTCGCTTGAATCAATTTCACTATATTCAGGTACAAACAGAGAAGGAATAAATAGCTCTAGCTAGCAACGACCTTGGGAATCTACCTGGGAACAACCAGGGATGATCCCAAATAATTCCAAGCAACAGAACCAACCTGGCTGGACAAAATAGCAGGTGGTAGGTTGGTGAACAACCTCTGGTTCTGTTTTTCCAACCTGGGAAAACAACAACCAGGTTCAGGTCCTAAAATCAGAACCTGTTTTGTCTTTGCCCAACCAGCCAAATGCTGGTTCCGCTGGTTTCCCCTGGCCCTGTAGCATGCAGATACAGACAAACAACATCCAACCTTCACCTAAATTGTACCCCTATAGTGCCTGCCCTGCTACACTATAGTCAACCAAACAAAACAGTACAATTTCGAGTTGGATAGAACTGAATCTGCACAATCAAGTAAGCCGAATCACAAAGCTTCCATCTTGGGTTCCTTTGCGAGCTCGTCCTTTCTGCTTCTACTGTTCATAGCGCGTACAATGTTATGCCGAAGCGTACATTGTGCAAGTACCTGCAAATGCTTCAAGCGAAAATTGCGAAAGCAAACAAACACACGAACATACCATTCACACGCAAATGCATTCGCACACGCATACTCGTACAAACAGACGGCAGGATGTCGTGCAATGTGAATTTGCACCCAACATAACCTACGCCCATGCGTGGTAAAAACGACGACGCCCGCGAAAGCGGAGGTGGCTCTGCGGGCGATAGTCTCGGCGACGAAGACAACCCCGAACAGGCTGCACGCGAGGTCTGCGCATGTTGGGATGAAAACCATACGGAGCTCGGCAAAGCACGAGGTCGCCACCGGGCTGGACCTCAAGTCGGCGTCTGGCGCCGACTGACCGTGTGTTTTGTGCGTCGGCGGGAAGCTGGCGCGGCACACCTTCCCTGACCACGGCTCCGACGCCGACGACGTTCTGGCCGTCGTGCACATCGACTTGTGCAGGCCATTTCGCGTGGCTGCCAAGGACAGCAGCCTGTACTTCTTGGTGCTGAAGGACCGCAAGACCCGCTATGTGTGGGTGAGGCCGGTCGCTAAGAAGTCAAACGTGCTGCTGGAGTTCCAGAAGTGGCTGGTGCTGGTGGAGCGACAGGCGAAGCATTTGGTGCTGCAACTGCGTTCTGACCGCGGAGGGGAGTTCATCGGGAAGGACTTCACCGCCTTCGTGGACAGTAAGGGAATCGTCCACGACTTGACCTGCCCTTACACCCCGCAGCAGAATGGCATGACGGAGCGGGAGATGCGGACGGTGGTGGAGTCTGTGCGGACGATGCTGCTGCACATGGGCGTGCAACACCACTGGTGGCATCTCGCTCTGCGGCAGGCCATCTGGGTTCGCAACTGCCTGGAGCGGTCGTCGACGCCGTACCATCACCTCACCGGACAGAAGCCTGACTTGTCGATGGCGCGGGTGTGGGGCTTCCTGGCACAATTCCTTGTCCCTGAGCAGCAGCGCGGTGGAAAACTGCAGCCGAAGGCTCAATGGGCCCTTTACCTCGGCGTGTCGGAGAAGAGCAAAGGCTAGGAGCTCCTCGACATCACCGCCAACCGGGTGGTCACCACGTCGGACGTGGTGTTGTACGAAACCCTGTCGCTGGAGGTGTGGAAGTCGGACCTCGGGCCTGCGTCGGGGCGGACGAGGGCCAACCCGCCGACGGACACCTCGACGGCGACGCTTCCTCTGCTCGCTGAGGATGGTGAGCGGGCTGATGAGGATGTCGCGGTCGCCCCTACCTCGCCATCTCCTGCCCCTTCTTCCCATTCCCTTCCCGTCGAACTGCGTGACCTGACTCCGGTGTCCGCCTCCGGCGATGAGGGGAGCCGTGGGGCGTTGCCTGTGGCGCCAGCCAAGAGCATCGCCGGTGGCCGGCGTGACGCCCAGCCAGTCGCGGAGAAGAGGACTGCGGAGGAGACCGCGAAGGAAACCGCGACGGACACCGCGGAGGAACCCGCGAAGGAGCCCGCGTAGGAAACCGCGGAGGAGATCGCTAAGCCGACCGCGGAGGAGACCGCGGGGGAGATCGCGGAGGAGCCCGCGGCTAGCAGGCAGCATACAAGGGAACAGGCAGGAGCGAAGCCGACCGCGGAGCAGTTGGCAGGGGAGCCGTCGAACGCGGAGCTCGCTTCAGAGGAGCGGACGACAGGGGAGCGGTTCGATGAAGGCACATCGAGCGACGTGGTGAAGGTGCAGCCCGACCTCGGAAGTCGTGCCGAATTCGGAGGCCACCCGACTTCTTTGTCCCCGCTACCTTCATCACGGTGTACGATGTGGACAATGACGACCTGGCGTACGATGACGCCGAGGACGATGAGGAGTTTTCAGAGCTCGACCCCGACATGCACACCGATCTCGAGCACCGTTGGGACATTTCGAGCATGACGGTGAAGGAGGCGTTGGCGAGCTGGAAGGGCCCGGCGGTGAAGGCCGCCATGGAGGAGGAGATTTGTAGCCTCATAAACATGGGCACTTGGGAGCTGGTCGAACGCCCGCCGGGGGTGAACATAATGAAAACCGGTGGGTGCTGACAACGAAGTACCACATCGACGACACGGTCGCCCGCGAAAAAGCGCGCCTGGTGATGAAAA